TCAATTACAGTAACTTACGGCTCACCTGTGAAATATCAAAGAACATCGAGGATGTCATTTGCTTCCGCAACCTAGGACTACACATTTCTGAACCATTTTTCACGATTTGATAGCGAGAAACGTTTATATATGAATCACAATTTTCGAGTCGACGAAATTTGTAATTGTCATTCGCCATATTGACACACACGAGGTTGCCATTTTTTGTGGATGCCATTTACCACAACAATGGGGAAATTTAGAAAAAAAAATACGGTGCCTTATTCATATAGCATGAGTACGGTGATGTTTGGGGAGTTTATTTCTAATAGAAAAACGGTTTTGAGATCAACATATAAAACAGGATTTGAGAATAATATTTATTCATCAACTGTTAACAAATGTCATCGTATCCATTATATGTGAAACGGTCTATAGTGGAATATAATTTTTCAATTTATAGGTTTTAATAATAATTCAACAAATTAAATTGCAAGTCAGGATTATTGATTAATGAGATTGACATGACGACGGTAAAAAGTTAATAATTTTTATTAATTTGCAGCTATGTATCTGCCTTCTGATTATAATATTTGCGTACCATTTTTTATTATAGATTTTATTTAATTGTAGTTATTCTTTAATAACCCTTTTGTTTAAGTTTTTTGTTACATTGGATTGGATTTCAGAGTATATTTAATGTACAATCTTATTTCTGATATATAAATAAAGTTTCAAGTCCAATGCAATTAGTGACGTGTAAAACTATACTATTAGTACCAATTGTCAAAAAGTTTATGCAACATAATATTAGTGAATAACATCAATGATCGGTACAGGTTCCGGGAAAATTTAGATTTATGACATAGCCACCCAGGAGTCCAACGAAAGGTCAATAGAGGTGAAATAACTTTGCTTCAACCAATAGTTCTGAGTTTGGCCTCCAGTTCTTTTACTTTAATCGTTCCTTTACACGTAACATAGTAAATAACTTAAACTTACGATTCAAATAAATTTAATTAATTTGAAAGTTAGATATTATAAGCAACACGAAACGTTTTATTACGTCAGAAAGAAAATTTGAATGAATATCATAAACAATTATCCGAAAATCGCTAGTGACATCTGGCTTTATTTCAAGTACCAATTTTTATTTTTTAAATACTTCATTTCGCATTATCTATGCGTCAAAGCATTTGATATCCACAACTTGACTAAGGCGTCATTCATTCATTACAAAGAGTATTCATTATTATCACATAACATTCAGTATCTACTTCATCACATACCTTGGCCGGCGCGTGTGGTATTCTTAGAAATAATACAGAAAACGAGACAATGTAAGTGTACTTAAAATGTTCTTCTGTATCTATAATATATTTAATATGATAAGTGTTAATTTGCCTACAGTGTTAATAGGGGTAGGTGACCGCACAAGTTATTTACAACTTAACTTCAGTCTCCTCTGTTCACTTAAAAGTCACCGTAAATTATTTTCAAAGTCTACGTTAAGATAAGAGTGAATAATATTTAGGCAAAATATTTTTGTCCTGTAAGTACTTACTTTTAAAAATACTTCCATGAAATCAGTAATATAATAAACATAATAAATCTCGGCCGGTTCTATACTTAGTTTCGCGCAAAGAGTAAAACCATAAAAAAAAGTAATATGGTTTCGTGCATGACACGGGGTAGTCCGGAAGCTGACTGTTTATGATTTTCACATTTCATATAAATAAGTAAAATTTTAAAATAGTTTCTTAACCTTTGTTTTCATGCATTTTGTAGACTGATTCGTCAGAGTTCCCACCTATTGGTAGGACTTGTTATAATTGACTTTTCAATCTGTTCTATTGTTTCTGTAAAGTGTATTTCTATCGTACCTGTCACCTTTTGAACGATCATAACGCGTATAATTATTGGAAAAATATTTTTTTTTTGATGTTTTGAATACTTTGCCTGTTCCAGTTTCACTAGGCCGAGACGTTGATAGTTTGTATTTTTGGTGTATAAATAAGATTAAAAAATATATTTGTTATGAGCCAAATGCATATTTATAAGCTATCAGCGTTTTATAAAAAAAAAGCACGGGATTACGTTCAATGAGTACCGGAATAACGTCAGGAACCAAATTTTAATGACGCTAATTTAAATAAATTCAATACTATGATGCATAAAACTATCTAAATGAAGCAGTTTTTGTTCTTAGTTTCTTTACAGTTTTCCTTAAAATCATTCTGAAAATCCACACTGCCTTAATATACCGTAATAGCGTCTCATCTTCCGTCAGATATGCACTGACCCTTTGGTAGTACCTGTCTAAAAAATAAAGATAATATATATTTTTTTTAAATATGAATAGTATACATGTAAATATGTTTTTTTTTAATATGCCGAGTACCTATCTGCTAGATATCTATAAATCGCTAAATAAGGGACATATAGAAAAACCGGCAAAGTTTGAGTCGGACCCGCACACGAAGGGTTCCTGTACTGTTACGGAACGCAGCGGCACGATGTTTCATCTATCCCAGGGGTCGGCAACCTGCGGCTCGCGAGCCACATGCGGCTCTTTGGCTGAGAAGCTGCGGCTCTTTAGATCCGAACACAAATATTATTTATTTAAAAAAAAAAATAATTTTAAAAATTTCTGAATCTATTAACAAAGATTCAGCACCACTTCCATCTCTCAGCCACATAGTCTTTGTTTGTACCCTCTGTTCACCCGCTCAGTCTGGACGAGGCTATTGAAGTACAAATTAGTGTTGTAACTTTGTAACTAAATGTTTGTTTTATTTTTTTACTTGAATTATAAATAATTATTAATACCATAAATATGTTTAATTTTTTATGAAAAAAACTACTCATATAAGAATAAATAAATATTATTTTGTCTTATAAATAAATAAATTAAAATTACTTTATTTATGCAAGTACTATATATAGTGATTGAATCACCATGATTGACCGAAAGTAGTTGATTCCGTGCCTCGGGGGGCACATTAAGCCGTCGGTCCTACGCCTGATCTCTCACCGGTCGTGTCGGTCAACCGTCCCATCGGATATAGAGAGTGGAAGGAAGAGAGAGAGTGAACTCTAAGAATGCGAAACCTAGTTGGTCACAATAAGCAAAGTCCTGCGCAGTAAGTCGATGTCAGTGAGAGTAGGACTACATTACTTATTTATTGTAGGCATAAAAACATTTTTTGTGGCTCTTTAAAAACTTAAAAATGTTGTAAATTGTAACTTTTGGCTCTTTTGACTCAAAAGGTTGCCGACCCCTGATCTATCCGATTAGATGGCATGACATGTCGTTTGAATCGCGCTAACGCCGTCGAAACTCCGTGTGTCATACGGCGTGCGAGAAAGAGACAATCACTAGGGAAGAAAAGGTCAGGTAGTCGTTCTATAACTATTTGTTTATACCTTGTATACACCAGTAGGACCGAGGCCAAATTAAAACATTCTAGACGTGGTAATCAGCCTCTATTAATACGCGGGTGGGCTAACCGTCCCGGCATTCTTTCACTAACTAGTTAGTTAACTAGTTAGTGAAAGAATGCTGCTCGTATTCGTATTCAGTTGAATACGAGAGCGATCAGAAGAGAAACTCGAAGCGAAAACTAGTGGACAATCGAGACGATAAAATAGTGTTTAAGCGAGTAGTGACTAGTGTGGATTTTGTTGTTGAATTATTTTTGTAATTTTATTAAGTAAATAAAGTCGGATTGTGAATTTAATTGGCGTTGATGTTCCACCCGAACCCTAACTCGTAAAAATACATACGGCTGCACGTCGGGTTACTACGATATGTCAAATTTTTCTCCAGTCGATTTGACCATTACCCTCAATAAAAAAAAAAAATGGACACTTTAGTGTAGTCTAAAACTGCAGTTGACTGTACTGCGTATTATATTCAAAAAAGCAAAAAAACACACGTTTGTTGTATGGGAGGCCGTCTGAAATATTTATCTTACTCCGCTATTTTTAGTAATTGATATAGCAGCAACATAAATACATGTAAAAATTTCAACTGTCTAGCCATCGCGGTTCATGAGATACCTGATTGATAACTAGTGATACGCCAAATAGTGGTTTTACCGAATAACCGAATACCAAAATAGCATTCGGTTTAACTTTTACGAAACCGGATATTTAGTCGAATTAGTCGGTTTATCATTCCATTATATTCGGCACCAAAACCGAATAATCTGACCGAATATGAACAGTGAAAAAGATGCCGAATACCAAACGAAATGGTAACAGACGGACGGACAGCGGAGTCTTAGTGATAGTTCCGCTTTTATCCTACGGTACAGAACCCTAAAAATGTAGCTTGGAGATATTCATTACCTTGAAAATACAACAAAAACTATTAAATTGCGTACCTCCTCAATTTTGAAGTCCGTTTAAAACTACGTTATTAATATACCTGTTTAAGTTATTGCATAAGCAGCTTAGCGTAGCTTTAGCATTTCCTTCTGGAAATAAACCTCTTGAATCTTTATAATTTTAAGTTTCATCCAATGATGTCCGCAACCTTCAATATACTACTGTGCCATGTGAGCTGCCTTTATTGTAGCTCAATCGTCACTGATAAATATAATTAGATTCTTTTATACATCAAATAACCGTTTCCTTCGTCAAAAATTCGTCGCCCAGCGTATTGTGAAAGGAAATACGAAATACAGTGACATAGACCCGGTGTCTGAATTGAATATTTAAAGTTAAGCACTTCTTAAACTGTACGTATATAATGTAGGTTTTCGTTTCTGATGGATTTTCTTTAATTATCAGTTGATAGCAGTTTGATAAAAACTAGGACTTTTTTCCTTGTGGAAAGTAAAAAACTTAAGTTATTGATAATTTTGTATTGAGATTTGGGATTTTGTACTTTCTTCAATTCAGAAACCGGCCGTAAGTATACATAAAAGACTACTTTCGATACCTACTTACTTAGATTTTCAAACAAAATGCCAATTGACTAAATAGCAGAATTGCACAATTTATGACATACCATGCTCGATACAGAATGTACAGTTATCAAATGATAATAAAGAATCACTAGACAAGCTTAGAAACTCCGTTGTATTCCAATGAACTTTCTAAAAGATTTATGAGATGCGTCATCTAGGGAGGTCTTTCAAATTGTTTCATTTATTACAGTGAATGATGACTGCGAAAAAGAAGAATTTGGATGCTAATTTGGAAGAAATTTTTAAGGAGTACATCGCTATAAAAGATGAGGATTATAAAAAATCACAAGATATTTTCAAAATTGTGTTTGATATGGTAAAAGTAAAGATGGGGGAGAAATGCAATTATTTTAAGAAATACAGCAGCCAGGTAAGTTCACTTCAAAGGCCCAACTACAAGTAAATTATGTAACACCATAACACTTAAAATTTGAGAGCAATGTCACAGTCATTGCCAAGAGAAAATCCTAGTATGATAGATAGTTGTATGATGGGTATAATAAGAGCCCTATCACACAAAATAAATTACACAAAAATTGTCAAACAGTTTTTCTCAAAACTCAAACCAACCTTTAACATAAAAATATTAAATAAAGAAGTTTCTGTGATATATACTTTACATTACCTATAATAAAAAATAAGTATACTAATTTGATTCCGTACATATACGAGAACATTCCGTAGGTAATGATTGCTGGTAGCGTTGATGACGGTATTAAGGTATCAAAATTGGACGAATTCGACATGGACATAGTTATTCGGCTACCAATAAATCATGCAAACGACGGTGAAAAGGGCATCATTATGGAATACGACCAACCGGGCTTCGTAAAACTAAAAATTATTGATAGTTTCGATCACCTGGACAAGCAACCAGAGTGGGAGAAGTGTCACGTAGTAACGAAGGAATGGCGCGACGCCAAAAAATACTTCCTGCAGAACAAATTCCGCAGCTGGTTGCACGGAATCGTCCAAAAAGCACTCAATGATATGAACAGAAAAGTGACAGTGAACGGTGTGAGTTACCTTCTCTCATACAAAGAATCGGGTCCAGCTTACACTCTGAATATAAAGAATGATAAAGACCAAGAACAATTTTATTTAGACGTTGACTTGGTACCTGTTATTAGATTCTCATTGCCGCGATGGCCTTCAGGCTATAGGTGAGAGAAATCTTTTTATTATTTACTAGCTTTCCACCAGCGGCCTCGCCCGCGTGGTCCGCTGGTACCTTACTCATAGATCTAAACTCCCCTCCCGCACGCGCACCCCCGCCTTGGTGACGTCCATTTTCCAACGGGCCGTTCAGCAGAAATCGTAATATTTTAATTTCGTCATAACTTAAAAACCAAACGTCCAATTTTAATTATTCAAAGATAATCATTCTTTTGATAAGGATTAATAGCATGAGTAAAATAAACGCATTTAAATGTAATTCAAAAAAATTCAAGATTTTTAAATAACAAAACATAGTGTGTCGCGGACTTATTTGTAGATATTTATAAGATCTACAATTGATTAGATCACTTTATGATTCTATCTATTATAGTTTAGGCAGCGTACGCAAAATAAGTAACTTTTCTGGTTGATCTTATGGAACCCTATTTTTTTTCCAAATAAAATATAGCCTATGTTACTCGTGGATAATATAGCTTTCGAATGGCGAAAGAATTTTTAAAATCGGTCCAGTAGTTTTTGAGCCTATTCATTACAAATAAACAAACAAACATACAAAGTTTTCCTTATTGTTGTAATTATGCTAACCCTTTTTAAATATTTGTAAGTTTATCAGTCTACATATATAGAAACAATAATTTCAGGCAATACATTCTTGCAGATGTACAGGGGACAGTAATCAGGTGAAAGACTGGTATGTAGTGCCTAAGCCAAATAAGTCGTTGCAAGACGATACGCAGAAGAGTCGATGTTGGCGGCTTTCGTTTCAAGCCTTCGAAAAAGATATGATGAAAAACCGGCAACAACTGAAAAAAACCATAAGATTGGCAAGTATATCCATGTATTATTATGTATAAGACAATTAGACGATGGTTTTTCTAATGTTAGACGTAGAATCATCTACTCACTCAATCTAACATATAATTTGCAGGTTAAGAAACTAAGGGATTCCCAAGATATGAAAGCAATTGCGAGTTACTATATAAAGACTTTATTCCTATGGAAAATAAGCAAAAATGACGACAAATATTGGCAGGCAAAGCTAAGCTTACTTTTCCATACTATGGTGAAAGAATTGTATGATGCTGTAGAGAAAAAATGTATACCGTTTTTCTGGCACAAAGACCACAACTTGATTGAAGGACTTAAGCCTTCACTGCAGAAGATATATTTGGGGAAACTCGATGCTGTTCTCAAAAGCATAGAAGCAACCGATGTTGACTCTGTGGTGGATGCATTACTCACGCCAAGCGAGTTAAAGAAATTCAAGTCGTCCGAGTTTTATCAGAATCAAAAAGTTAAGGATGTAACTGATAATGCAAAACCATCATCAACTGTTTTATGCAAGCAAACATCTATATCAAATGACGATAAGACGAAATTAATTAACTCTTTAATAAGTAAGGTAGATAGGCTTACTACTACTGTTTTCGATCTCCAAGATAGAGTGAAACGTTTAGAAATGTGTAGAGATATGACACAAACAAATAGGATTGACGACAGTGGTGATAATTCAATAATTTGTTCTCTTTCCAGCTCTGAAAACTCTGAACTGTCACTGATTGAATTTTAGGCCCTAACCGAGACCGAATGAATACCAGATGAATCACCGAAAGTATAGGAAGAACACCTAAAACAAAAATAGGCACATATATCAGTTTAGTTACATTAGAGTATGCAAGTTATGTTAGACCATTACTTATTTTATTACCTATAATTTTATAAAATTAATTTAATCCTACATTAAATTACTAAGACATTTGATAAGCGATTAGGTTTATTTAAATCAATGCCTATTTAGATCATGACATCAATTGAATTTAATAATCTTTAAAGGTAGATAGTGACGATGATGTAATATCATGAAATATATTCGTAAAACAACAATCAACTATGAGTGCATTATGTGATAATAAATGCATTGTTATTTTTTAATTATTTCACTGAATTTTTGTGATAATAGCTATAATAAAAAAACAGGTAAGTAAATCATAATTATGTCGCTAGAGACTTGCCGAAAAGGTCTATAAAATTACAAAATTATTTTGAGCGATCTTTGGTATACAAAAATATATGTAAGTAGTGATATTTTTTCATTAATTCGACGAGATATTTTAACTTTTTGTTCAGTGCTTGCTCGATGGTTCGATTTAGTCTATACATTCAGTGGTGGGTGCAGTGTGAACTACACGTAATCGTATCAGCGAGGGAGAGAAGTCATGTGCGAGACGATTTGCCCACACGCAGCTACGCCACACCAATCATGAGGCACCTTCTACATTATCAAACTGTCTATGGGTATGTTCCGATATACACTGCGAGCACTGCGCAGTGGTCTTACTGCTGAAAAATCCGTTCCGTTATGGACTGCCAGTACACTGCTACAGTACCCTAGGGAAATTTATGACGTCATAAATTGCCGCCATATTTGTACTGTGAGCACTGGAAGTTTCGAGGTAAGGTGCTCGCAGTGCTTTTGATCACGTGATCAGTCGAAACAGAATCAGAAAATGATAAGTTTCTAAATAAACAAAAAAAAATACTTACGTTTATTTATAAGATGGATTTAATTGATAAATAATTTTTTATACAATTTTCCAATTTTCTTTTGAAAAGAGGGAATCTTTATATTTATATTCACCTTGCATTAACAAATTTGAGAATGGCGCCAAAAAATAGGATTAACAGTATACTGGACTGCGTTCCGTTTTAAAAAGTCACCAGTATAACTAGCTATAAAGGAACGGGCTTCCAGTATACTAAATTGACGTCATACTGTTCAGTGGTCGCAGTGTATATCGGAACATACCCTATATAACGGTCGCCGAACAGCGAGAATTTCGTACAATGATCCTGCACTACATATCTCTTTCACTCGTGCGCAAACATATTGTTGTCACGCTCGCACATGTGCATCTAACCAATTTTATTATAATAAAGTGTTCACATCTACCAGTATGCAAAGTACGAACTAATTCCAGTTCGGTGATTGTGCTATATATCTATTAACTACCTTATTTGACTATATGTAGATAGATATATAGGTACTTTTTGCATTTATCAGTTTATTATTAATGTTAAGTTTCATATTTATGAGGAGTAATAAAATAATTACCATTTAAAATTAAAAGATGTGATAAATTGTATTTTATTATTACACAATAAATTATAAGTATTCCTGAAATTCTCTTCATTTTATTCTCATGTGCACCATAAAGCATTATTACTAGACTTGCAACGAATAGTATATTCGGTCCTATACCGAATACTCGGCGAGCTTCCTGGCCTAATAACCGAATATTAGGCATAAGTATTCGGCCGGCATGTGGCGCCAAAACTTGTATCAAAAGAAAAAATGCAGTTGTGGCAGAAATAGAAGGCATTGCAGCAAAATATATAATTATCGGCGCCAGGAAGCAGTGTTTATTTAGAACGTCTATCTAGCTGGGCTAGTCTACGAGGAAAAAAGAAGTAAATTACTTCCTAAAAATGCAGAAAAATTAATCTTCATACACCATAACCTTCCGCTTCTAAACTTTCATTACAACAACAATTCAAATGCATAAAAAAAATCGTTAAATTTTGTTATACAGAAGATGATTGTGTACTAATGGCTTCATGATTATAAGAAATATTATTATAAAATCAATCAGTGATTTCTTTTATTTTACCAATTATCTCATACCAACAAAATATATTAGGTACTTAAGCTATCCGTATTCGGCCAAATATAACAAAAGCAGCCGATAGGCCGAATACCGAATACTAACTGAATATTCGTTGCAAGTCTAATTATTACATTAAATGTATTATTTTTTAAAATCAAGCATAATTATACAGTAAGTAAAGGGGTATTTAGGGATAACCGATTCAGTTTTTTTTTTTTTTTTCAAAATTGTAAAAAAGTAACTCTCGTTCTAACATCTAATTTACTTAAAAAAAAAAAATCATTATGTGCTACTCGTGCTGAAGATCAGTGTTTTTAAACTATGGGCCGTGATCCCTAAATGAGTCGCCGGCAACAGAAAAAGTCAAGGTTCTACATAGTTCCCTACAGAAGAAAACAATTTTTGTGACAAGGATTGACTTATTATGGAATTATGTCTTATCGTGGTGCAATTTTTGAAATTTTAATTAATTGATAAAGTTATAAATGTAGCCTTTTAATAACATTGCAATTTTGTCTTTCTATCTCCCAAGGGAGAATCTCGCCAGAATTTTACAGCATTGGAACAGGTCATGTACCCATAAAGTTTCAAAAACAATGCTTTAGAAAAACAATGCATGATCTGCTATATTAACGAATATATGTAAATAATTTTTTGAGGATAAAACAATTTGTTTCAGTTAAAAAATAAGACACCAATTTAAGATTATTATTATTTACTATATTGGTTTATGTTGTCTTAGATAAAAAATTAATTACAGCCATTGTGTAACGCACCGCAGACCGCGGCAGGTAATGCAAGGGGCTATTTAAAATGGGAATCTTCATAGAAAAAAAAACGTTAAATAATTCTATTTCATTGATATAATATTTTTGCCTAAACTATCATTTATCTTAGACATTGGGAATAAAAAGGGGTATAAACGCAGGGGGGGAAATCAAATATTCAATGGGAGTAATAACGGTCCCAATTATTAAAACTAAATTTAAAAATAAGAATGATGAAACCCTATTTGGACCGTATTTTGTGACGTGTATTGTATAATCTTAGGGTGTACAATTAAATATTATTACACAAGATAACAATAGCACGTTTGACTCGTTAGGGGTTAAAATAAAATAAAACTTTATAAGTTAACATTAAAAAAGCAGCTAAATTAATTCCAAAGTTAGCGGAGTTCCGTAAAAACTGAAACTTATAATAATATTAAAAGACCATGCATTTGCAAATAGCTACAAGCATTAAACCAAACCATAGATGTGTTAAAAGATAATTATTTTTCCAGAATAATAAACATTATAATTTATTTACGCAAATAAATGACTATCTTTAAGTTTCATATCAAAAAAGATAGGAAAGGTATTTTTTTTAACTTTACCTGATTAGATTTCTATTTACGAATAATGAAAAATATACTTAAGTCGTATTTCTTCGCAATCATTACAGGTTTTCTATAACAATAATTACATATATGCGCATTTAATTTTTATTATACATAAGTAAACGTGACATTATTATACATGTATTGTTGGATTTGTAAAAAATAAACTAACTATACAAAAAATTACCGATTATATATATGTATAATGTGTACATAATTTAAAGAAAACAAGTAAAAGAAGTAATTGGTAAGCAATGAGTGTGTATGAGTGTCACGGACTATTCCTCACATCGCTCACTTTTTCGTGTGCATGAGTACCAGGGTTGCCAGATCGCATAATCGGATCCAAAATTTTTATAATGTGGTTATCTTATTTTTATAATAGATTATCTTGTATAATTAAACAAATCAGATATAAATTTAACTTTACGATTATTATTAAGACTATATATTTAGTAGGTATGTCATGTTCCGTTACTTTTATCATCAATTCTTCTCACTTACCTCTATTAATTCAGTTTTTCAATGAAAATATTACTGCCATTGTAATTTTTTTCAAGATTTGACTAAGATTATGTATTAATCAATATAAATAAACTTTTTTATATAAAGTAAACATTAAATAACAAAAAAAAACTAATCATGTTACGCATTATAATAATAATTTATTCACAATAAGTACCTTCTTTGTTGAATTATATAATAAGATTTAATTTTGTATTATTATTACAGACATCTAATGGTATAAAATAATTACTATCTACTGGCAACACTGGTAAATATCAAAAATCTATTGTCAAATGTTAAAATACCTTTGCCACGAAAAGAATAATGCTAATCAAAATTGTATCAATAAAGTAATAATTATCATACAATTCTACCTATTGCATCTAAATATTTAGTTCTCATTAGGGATGTAAGAGGCGTTGAGCAATAATAATAACCAAAGCAAAATTTTGACATGTACTCGATAAGAATTCATTTTTTATTCTATGTAAAATTTTATCCTCGCCCGCTGAATCGGCATTACTTCTGTTAATAACCACCATCGCAAGGTAACATTTACATCTTATTTTTTTTCATTAAACGACAATACCGTATCATAATTTGTATACAAGTTTACACAAACAGATTGAAATCTAAGCGATCCCAGTTATATCATACAACAATCACGAATCTTCTTTATTTGACAGTATCATAATAATGTTACATTGTATATTACAAAAAAAATTAATCGTTGGTCACATATGAGTGCCTAATTAATTACCTTTTTACATAGATTCACAGCCGTAACTTTACCAAAAAATAAAATCTTATCCACAGACGATAATTCAAAAAAAATGTTGATATTCAAGTTAAAAAGTCAGCATCTCATACATTTTTTAAGATTTTCGCTTGTTGATAATGTTTAATTTTTAAGAAGCTCAGCTGGTGTGATGCTTTTAACGCAAGTTATTAAGTTTTCCATGAAGCACCTTTAAAAATCATTATAAGTTGTGTCTTTTTATTTCCAATACAAAATAAATAGGATTTAAACAATATTACGATATAATGTGCTAATGATATAAAGGAACGTATTTATATAAAAACACTGGTTTTTTTTTATCTAACATGCCAGTATACATAAAATAAATTATCACCAAAAACATGTTTTTAAGCAGAAACAGTTCCACACATGGTATATTTTCATTAAACTTATTTTTAGCTAACAATATGAGATAGGTATAATTATTTATAATAATAACTCTAATATTACCAGGAAATCTAAATATTCTAATTCTAATATATATCCAAAGTAGTCACTATTAAATAAATTGATAAAATAAACATGTAGTACGTTCACACACCTGCACGTGAGGTTACCACAATATATCAAATTTCCGCAATAGATTTTTATCTCTACATTGAATATATTAAGGTTTAAAATTAAATAGAAAAATTTGACAGTTGTGTATAACCTGACGCGCTGTTGACTGTAGTTTCAAGCAATTTTGAGGATAAACAGTTTTAATGCGATTGATATGTGCTAGATCTATTATCATGTGCATTTATTTAATAATCACTGCACTTTGGATATTTTGTGTACAATTTTTGAATGTGGCAACATTTTATTCAACATGGCAAGTCGTTCAAAACAAAGACGGCATTCTATTATCAGTATACTGTCATGACGAATATTATCTTGGCACCTTCACTAAAGTTGAAGAAATGTTACACCACATTCTTTAAGAGAGTGCATTTCAACTCAAGCTATTACTTTGCTTACGACAGCGATAAATTTAAATTTTCACATGCGGATATTCATTAAAAACTTGAGCTTTGTACAACTGAATGAAAATTAAAAAATATATATACATATAAAAAAAAAATTATACGTATGAGTAATCTTCTAAATTTAATCGACAACATATCTACCTAAGAATGACTAAATCTATCTTTGTTCCGAACACTTAAGAATTTTAGGCATTAAAATCAATTTCTTTCTTTTTTTTCCCTACATATCAGTAATCCGTATGTGAAAAATTTATCAGTTCAGTCGATTTTACAATTTTATCAAGCATACATCTTGCAAGGCCAAGTTCCGATTGTGTCTCGTTTTAAAGGCAACAAATAACCTCTCATCCATTATTGCACACTAAGTCAATTTCAAGTAACACCAAGCTGTTAAACTAAAATTAAGAAGGAGTAAAATTGACACGATAAAAGATACTTTTTCTCTCGCATATTACAAATGAATTTCCTTATCTTTAGCATCATATACACAATATAATAATTGATGACAATTACAGCAGCCTACAAATACACCGTGACAGATTAGAAGTAATTTGAGTCGTCGCTTTAAAAGCACTGCAAAGCAATTAGGTACTGCAGCGTCAAAATGGTCACAATTTAATTGTAGGAAAATTTTTATTTTCATTCCAATTCCAGAAACTCAATATGAAATAGACTTGTTCAGATTTATTTACCAAGTAACCTTTGTTATTTCCAATAACAAAAACGGTCATAAAATAAACTTTAACAGAAAGTTACGAGATTACTATTACGAGAAGTAAAAAAAGGCGACTATAACCTTATCGCCTCCAATCGTCTGCACTAACCTTTAAAAATGCAAATTTTTAAAGTAAGTTTTTATTGAATATATACTTATTTTTACCTTCATTTAATTGAAAAAGACTATGATAAAGATTATATAAACAAAATCCGTATGATGACCGAGGCATATTTATTGCGTGTTGTTGTGTAAGCGGAACTATACCTTGTAAAATGTAACGTGTAAAAGTATTAACGCGCGCTCCCTGACTTACTGTGCTGGATGAGCCACTGTAGCGTGATGTCAATATTGTCCTTTTCCTTGCACGAGATTGAATAACAACAAATCTCACGATCCTGGATCGCCGATAAATTCCTGGTGAAGTAGAAAATTTTCTTTTCACGAGATTCATTTTAATTAGATATAAAAATGACGTATTATTCTTATGGGGAAACGTTCATTTGTTTCGGGTCAAGATTATACGTTAGTTTATAAAAAAAATAGATGTTTCTAGTGATGATTTACGATTACAGTACAACAGTTCGATTCTGTATTCTGAATTCACTCTTGTGTCTAAATTCACTTACTGTTAGTACTCAAATATAAAGGAAATTTATGAAATATGGTTTCATTTTGTAACAGAATGCAATTTATATGAAAAAAAAAGTTTGTAGCCGAATTCCATGCTTCAATGAACATTCTCGTTTTATTAAATTAAATAAAAATATAGACCAAATGCATAGATATACCTACACCATAAGAATATATTTAAAAAAAACTTGGTGCGTTTTGTTAGTATGATGGTTATGTTTGTTTTTGTTGAAATAAAACGTTGTGTTTGTCAAAAGTATGAAATTATTTAACATTCTATTATTTTATTTATATGAATAAAGGATTTTATTATTTAATCAAATTATGATAATTAATTGCAATCGTACGAAATCGTAAAGATTTGACAACTTAACAACAACAAAACGAAATGAATTATCTATGACATTCTATATCATTCAAATCATCATTCGTTCCGAAAGCAATTGGGACTTTAAAAGTTACGAAATTCCATAAATCACTATCACAACCGCTATAAGTTTGAAAATGATTGTGATGGATTTAAAAATTAAACAATTAGGCCACTGGTCAATCCCAATATTTACCTTATTAAAAAGTAAGATTGGATAGTAAAATGTCAAAAACTTTTTATTTCCTTATTTACAGTAAAATGTCACAGAAACTATATAAACGTTCTTTCCCTAAAAAATTATAGCATGCAAAGGCAATATAAGAGGGAGAGAAAGATATCTTACATCCTTTCGATGAGGCCGTGCTCGTCAAGCGCGTGAGGCAGGTCCCGCTTGTTCCCGAGCACCAGCACCGGGATGCCCGTCAACTGCTGCTTCTCCAGGAGACTGTGTAACTCGTTGCGAGACGCCTCGATCTTATCTTGATCTGCCGCGTCTACCATGTATCTAAAACACAACAATAGAACTTAAAATAGAGATTATGCATCCGACAGGTTTTGTATAACCTATAGTTATTTATGTATTACTGGATATTTTTTTATAAAGATGTAGTACAAAATATTATACTTAAGGGTAAGTAAAAATGACTTAACTCGTGTAGTACCTATATATATCGCAGCCAAGTGGTATAATCAGCCGACCAATTGGGCGGCGGCTATATATAATAATTAGAGGGCTAGTCGCTCAATTGGTCGGCTGATTGTACCACTTGGCTGCGGCATATACGTACTCAAATGTACACACGTTAATAAAATCAAAACCTTACATGCTTGCCCCGCTTGATGAATAAAATTTACTATTTTCTTCAAAGCACCAATGTTACACATACACGCAAATCAGGTGCATTTTCACGTCTAGACGCCTGTATAAAGAAGTACCAAAGTGACAGAGACAGCGATAGTGTTCTCAATCACGTTTTATATTATATTTTATATTAGTTACGGATTTTATATTAGTTATTTATTCTAGAAGGGTAGTAAGACATTGATTGCTTAACTTGTGTACTACACGAGTTAAGTTATCGATACTTATCGTCGAAGTATATTAAAATTTTATACTACACCAGCGAGGACAAAATGCAAGATTATAAATGTTTCTTTCTTTCATTGCAACGCGGCAAGACAACAGCGTCACTCAAAAAAGCAAACTAACATGAAATTCAAACCTATATTGTAACAAAAACTATACAATTGTTTTAATTTAAAAAAAGTTTTTTACGTAATTGTGGTAATTTTTCATACATAACCTGTTTTTGAAGTTGAAATGAGCAAGTTTTGGGCTTGTTATTGGGTTAGCAATGATAATTTTCAGAGTGTAGGCTAAATAAAGAATAGGTATTACGAGTAGAAGAAACTGTGTAGACATCGCTAATGTGAACTGACACATATTTTATTTCATTTAAATTATGTATATATTTTTAAATAATTTGTAGGATCATAAAAATGATTCATTACAATCCCCGTAAGTATGCTTTGGTTGGTGTCAACTGCGATGAATTTAAGAGTGCTTTCCAAAGGCCTTTGAGCTTGAATCAAGGTAATAAACCTGTGTAAACAGGATAAATTTCATAATCGCACACTGACCGCTTCAACAACTAAAGCATAGAGCTATCGAATTAATAATTTTAAATAAATAATTAATAGAATTACTTACACAATAGCATTGACACCGCGGCAATATCTCTCCCACATCGATCGGAATCTGGGTTGACCACCGATATCCCAAACCTATAAACAGATATGCTTTCATTGATGTATTTACATAGCAACAATAAGCTAAAATCCACATAATCTGGCTACATAAAGATAAGTAGTAGAACAGATATTATAAAATTATATTAATATCCATTCGATTATGTAATATATCCAAGTATCAGATGTTTAATGTTTGTCACATTTTATTAAAACACGAGTCCTACTATTATAATTAATATTATAAAGGCGAAAGTTTGTAAGTATGGATGTATGGATGTTTGTTACTCTTTCACGAAAAAACTACTGGACGGATTTGGATAAAACTTTACAGCAATATAGGTTATACATCAGAATAACACATAGGGTACTTTTTACTGGGAAAACTTCTCACTCCCACGGGATACCGACTTCCACGCGGACGAAGTCGCGGGCGTCCACTAGTTATAAATATGATAGAGAGTTTATGTACTTGTTACTGTAGTGGAGATCTGTATTCTAAAATCACTTAACCTTCTAGACAGAAAACAATAATAAAATTTACAATAAAAAGTGGTATCAATAGTTATTTTAATATTATCAGGACACCATTCATCCTATTAATATTATAAAGGCGAAAGTTTGTAAGTATGGATGTATGGATGTTTGTTACTCTTTCACGAAAAAACTACTGGACGGATTTGGATAAAACTTTACAGCAATATAGGTTATACATCAGAATAACACATAGGGTACTTTTTACTGGGAAAACTTCTCACTCCCACGGGATACCGACTTCCACGCGGACGAAGTCGCGGGCGTCCACTAGTAACAAATAAAACAAACAAATATAATTGTAATACTTCACCTTGATTGTAACATTTCCTTTTGTGATTTTTCTCATGTTGAATCCAACTGTAGGAATCATATCTTCACTAAATTGACCAGACTGAAAAATTTAATATTATAAATTAATAGTAAAAATAGCTAATAAATAATTCAACCCCTTAAGTCAATATAAATTATGGACAGAACACCAAAATACTGTTTGAAACAATAGCATCAGACATGTATATTATATAAAACAATATCAATTAAATTAACAAGTATTTAATCGATTTCAAAACTTAAAGTGTTAATAAATAATTAAGTTCAAAAGAGCATAGCCATACTTTTTTGGTGAAACTACCCCCAACAGGAACCTATAATGTGACCTATGCCATATAGTAGAAGTAATAGTAGTTGATTGATATGGATATTAGCTTTGTATCTTAGCTAAAATAGGAGCTTATTACTTGAAAAAAGTCTTTGATGACTTTTTTTAAAGTAATATAACTCAGTTATTTTTCAAGCTACAAAAATTAAACTATTATATAATGTTTAGTTTTACACTTTATTTTATAGTAGCTTTCTATGAGCCATGTTGTAATGAAAGTTCTAGAAAAATGCAAATTTTGTCTGATGATTTCTATCAGGTAGAAAAAAGTTACCACTTTGAAAAAAAAAGAATTAATTAACTTGTCTAACAAAATGCCAAGTTTCATTAAAATCTAAATGATGCAACATGTCCAATAAAAATTTTCGCTTTTCAAATCTGTTACATTTTAATAGTTTTTGCAGTTGAGCCGCTACTTTTGCGATTTGAAAAAGCAAAAGTAGCGGTTCAACTACAAAAACAACTGCAAAAAATATACTTTTTTGGGCTCCATTGTTTCAGGGATAGGGGGAAATTAACATTAAAAAAAAAAGGCATATAATAACATTCTCAATCAAAATGAATACCTTTTTTATTATTTTTTTTTTTATTAAATAATATAATTTCTCAAAAACCTTCTAGTTATTTGTTAATACTAGTTAAACCTGCAATATTATAAATAATGCAAACAAGGCATTAACTGTAGTTATTTTTGACAATTATAAATTATGTAGTAGTGTTCATTAAAAGATGATACGTAAAAATTATAATGTTGGTGATAGTACCCACATAACTTAAATTTAAGTGCAATTTTTAAGTAAATTGTAGTGTTAATTCACTTACAATTAGTATTTATTTACAAGTGCCATACTATATAATACATGGCACTATTCCCAATTATATAAGAAGATAGAAACCAAGAATGATAAAAGTATATTGACTGATAACATGTCTGATTACTAGTTAGACAGGAGACAGTCTCTCATTAAAATGAAAAATGTGAAACTCTGAATAATCTACCTTGTAGCCTGATTATCTGTAAATTACTAATTTACAGATAATCAGGCTACCTTTGAATTGTTGATATGTCAAGAAACATAGTTGAATATTAGAAGCTAGTATATAAGAATAGGTGCACTCCCCATATATAGTGAACAGCAAGCCAGGCTATATAAAACTGTCAAAGTAAAGTTACTTGGTTTTAAACCTTGATTCATTGTAGGTAGAATTAAAAATCAACTGAAGAAATTCAACATATTGCACCTGTATGCATCTCTACTCCATTCATTATAACATTAGAAAAAAGAGGGTCATAGAAGCAGCAGTGCAGAACATTTTATTTTCAAGATAAATTTAAAAATATTATTATAGTTTTGTTGAAACTTTGAACGTTAGGTAGTCTGAAAGAGCTGAGCAATTTTATATTTTTTACGACACCTCATGGTTGCGATGAGGCCAGCATTTTCTAAATTCATATTTTACTCCCAAGCCAACATGGAACTAAACTATCTATCTGTTGATTTGATTATAATTAGAATAGAATTTAGTTATATCTATGCCCAGTAAAGAAAGGTAAACAAAATGAAATTTTTATTATTAATTTTATAACATTTATTCAGACATTTGACTATTGATGAAGACATTGGTAAAACTTCTTGAAATGTCAAAGTTTGAGGGTAGGTATGGGGGCTTAGAGCGTAATTGTTGTAGGCCACTCGGGCCTGCACCGGCATCAACCATATTTAATAAAACTTAACAACAAAAATAAAACAATAACAACTTAATCATGGAAAAGGGCAAAACAACAAGAAAGGAAGTAGCATTCACAATGGATGACAATCCCAGATTACATATTTTGACAATTTTGAATACCTCATAGTCTGACAAAATAAAAAAAAACTGTACTGCCAAAACGTTTGAAGGGATTAGGCAATGTTTTAAATTTGGTAGAATTATAGTGACATGAGAATCATGCCGAAACTATCCAACCCTGCTTCTTTAGGTTCTTTAAGATGAACACTTTTTATTGTAATAGTTATTAAATCCTTTAAGTTAATCAAATACTCATAAATTTGTTTAATAGATAGCTTAAATGATAACAGTTAAGAATAGCAGCTGGTATTTAAGTGAAAATGTAGCAAATTAGCCGTCAGTCTTAAGAGTAACATGATTATTGATATTTTATCACAAAGTATACCATAAAAAGAACCTTATTTAACTTCTGTCTAATGCTATAATAAATGGAGTATAGTGTTCAATGTTTTTACATTTTCAACTATCACTGTCATAGTTTAACTAATTAATACAAGACCTCTAATAAATAATATGCCATAACCATCTAATCTAATCATTAATTAATCTGTTTATTACTACCCGATCTAGTTAAGCATTGTTGCAACAGAACTGTCATGATGTTTTCTATATTTCTCTTTATATTCCAAATAAGGCAAATGTTTCCTTCTTGTTTTGTCAATATGTAATATATAGCTACAGTACATGTTATGTGTTCGAAGCCACATTACAAATAATTCAACATCAATGTTGATAAAAGCCTTGTAATGAAATTTGTATTTGATAATGACATAGGGAAAAGATATATATAAAATGGCAACATCTGAAAAATGTTATTACTTTAACACACACACATTATCAGATATCAAATGATTATAAAATTAGTGAATTAAAATGAACCTATGTAACACTTCAGGTTACAATTTTGAACTTAACTATGTATTTAAAAAAAAAACAGATAAGGGTTTAAAAATCATTGGAAAAAGATTCCCTTTTATCAACCGGATTTGCTGTCAACCATATTAAAAATTACTGAAACCTGAGAATGAAATGCACAGAGCTATTGCTGTTAACTAATAGGTAGTAGCACTGATTTTCACTCAATGATCTTAATAAATAAATATTGAAAAAACTACAATTAATATAAACTGATAATCAGACACAGCAGCTTTTATTTGATTTAGTTTGATAGAATAACTAGTTATTGTTTGTTACCGAACCATTGAAACAATGACTAATATTAAAGTGGCTATATAAGGTGTTGCATGGCGATCTAACAAATATTTAGCAACAAAACTACGACAAGACCGTTCCAAAACATGTAAGCGAAACTTAGAAAAGCAGTAAAACTGTGTAAAAGTATTAGTTTCACTGTACAATATTGTTTTACGATAATACTAACGGCAATGACGTTAACAAAAGTTGTTTTTCCAGAGTATTGCAATCCGACCAATGTAAGTTCCATTTCTTCTTTCCAAAACAAGCTTTTAATCCAATCAAGGATACGATTGATCAAAGCTAACATTTCGAATAATTTTCACTGCACTTTAGACACGAATTAAAGCAATTTAATAAACGCCTCTGAAAATCCACTACGACTACAAATTTGACAAAAGGGAACTGTCAAAGCGTTTAGTTTTAACAACATTGAATACTAGAACTGGTACTGGTACGTTCGCGTACTCAGTACTTTCCTATCACATGTATAAAGTGTATTATAATAACTTTCATGTCATATCCGTAATGGTATCTCATTCTCGATAGAGAAAATGAAAAATATATATATAATGTCTTTCTCTCGTTCTTATTCTTCATTCAAATTGAATCAATTAAATAAGTATGTTAAAGTAAAGTATTATCTGAGCTCATAGTCATGTTTATGTTTATTATGAATCTGACGGTTATTTTTGCTATCGACTTTTCTAGTAACAATAATGAAAAAGTAATCCTCAAGTTTCAAAAAAATTTAACAGACCTCTATTACCACATTCTCGTCATCAGGTACCTAACTACAAATATTTTACTAAGCTCGAATGCTCAAAAAAACTTATTACTCCGAAATGTCAAGTTTAAACTTTTTATTGGTAAAACACTTTAAATGATTCCTAATTATATAATACAATATGAATATTACCTTGACAAGCATTACCCTCCATTTCAATTGGAATATTCGCCACTGCGTCCTTGTATTAACTTTGAGAAACTATGTTTTTCAGGACTGATTTTGAGGGATACATGTCAAGGCTTCACGAAATCGACTGGGCTCATTGTGCTGCAACTCTACGCTGTGATGACTTAGTTCAGGGGGCCAATTCTACTAAATAAATTTTGTTTAAATCGAATCGAAAACGGATCGAAACCGAATGAAACTACAGTTTTTAATTGTTTTTCTATTGTACTAAGTGATATACGATACAATTCCAGCTAAAATAGAACTGGAATTGTATCGTATGTTACAATATGATTTCATTGGAGCAACGTAGACGGATGTATGATTTACACACTTTACACAAAATAGCTAATGCATTATCTGATAGTACTCTACTGGGAACACTCTTAATTCGGGTGCTGACTCGGTACCCACGTTCGCTTAACGAAACTTAAGAACGTAACGAAAGAACCTAAAGTACTTTGTTTCGGGTGCAAATAATATACAGAAAAAATCGCATATTTCGGTAAGTACAAAATGTCATTGAGACAACTATAAACTGTTGTGGTAGGGCAACACTAATGACAGCCCGCGCATATTATATTGTCGGTTAGAGATTATCTATGGAACTATGGAGGCTGGCTTGGCTAGGTTGTACTTTGTGAGTAGTGTGTTTGTTACAATAATAATAAAAGCTAATTCCTTGAATGTCGAGTTAATCATTTCTACATGGTGGCAGCGGTGTTATTAAATAATAATAAACATGGAGGCTAATCCAAGCAGGGAGGAGTCGAGACCTGTTAAACTTTTGATACCCATGCAAAATGTCAGCCCGCCGGAAGAATTTTCATTTGAAAGCAAAGATTGGCAAAGTTGGAATAAAAGGTTTGAGCGTTATTTAAGTCTAAGTGGTGTAGAGAGAAACGATAAAGATAAAATTGATTTGTTTTTATACGTACTGGGTGGAAAAGCAGAACAGCTTGTGAGACAACTAAAAGTGGAAAACTGTGAAAAGTATGTTGAAGTACATTCAGCTTTTGATAATTATTTCACACCCAAGAAAAATGTGGTTCATGAACGATATAAATTTAATATAAGAAAGCAAAAAGAAGGTGAAAATATAGAGGACTTTGTTCGAGGGCTAAATATTTTAGCTGACTCCTGTAATTATGGTACATTAAAAGATGAGTTGATAAGAGATCGTTTAATAGTAGGGGTTGCAGATAGAAAATTAAGTGAACGATTGCAACTCATACCAGAGCTGAGTCTAGATGATGCAATAAAATTATCAATGCAAGCAGAAGAACAAAGGGAGGAAGCCAGATTGATGTGGAGACGTGAAGCAGAAGAAATGCAAATAAACAAAATAGCAAACAATACAGGCAATAAGGTGAACGAGGATGGAGGAAGAAAATGTTGGTGGTGTGGAGGAGTAATGCATAAGCGGGAGAAGTGTCCAGCGTTTAAAGTCAATTGCTATAAATGCAAGAGAGTAGGACATTATTCTCGTTGTTGTCGAGACTGGAAAAGGATAAACAATATAAATGAAGATGAGTTTAAGGTACTAGTACATCTGTCTTTAGGAGAAGGTTTTACTAAAGTTAGTTTTTTAATTGATACAGGAGCAGACATTGTAGCAATACCAACCCATATTCTTAACAAAAGTATTGTTATTAATAAATGTAAGGATAAAATAAGAGGACCTGATGGAAAACCATTGCAGGTATTAGGGTGGGTGTGTGTAGAGATAAAATATAATGATAAGGTGTATAGTGGTAGAGCCTATGTTATTGAAAATTTAAAATCTCCTATTTTGGGACGGCCTGCTATCAAAATAATGAATATTTTAAGTTTGTGTAATATGTACAAAAATAACAGTGTTGATAAATCAGAACCAGATAATAAGATAAAGGAGGGTAAAGAATTTGTTGATATTATTCGTGAATTTCCAGAAGTGTTTAATGAATTGGGTGTGTTTAAAGATTCTTTTACTATAACATTGGTTGATAATCCAAAACCATTTGTGCAGACAACACCACGAGTTGTACCAATTCCATTATTAAATAAAGTAAAGGGAGAGCTAGATAGACTAGTTTCTATAGGCGTACTGTCTCCTATTGAGGAGCCCACATTATTTGTGTCACCAATAGTAGTAGTTCCTAAAGATAATGGGGGGGTTAGAATATGTGGAGACTATACTCAATTGAATAAAAATGTTAAAAGGCATATTTTTCCTATACCTAAAGTAGAGACTACATTGGGTAGGTTAAAGGGTGCAAAGTTTTTTTCTAAAATTGATGCAACAACAGGTTTCCACCAAATAAATTTAAGTGAGGTTTCTAGAAAACTAACTACCATACTTACACCATTTGGTAGATACATGTACAATAGATTACCAATGGGCCTCAATTGTGCACCCGAGTATTTCTCCATGAAATTTTCAAATTTGTTTCAAAATCTTGAAGGAATAGTTCAACATGTTGACGATTTATTGTTATATACTGAGGACATAGAAAGTCATAAAAGACTACTTAGGGAGGTGCTTAGGAGGTTATCAAGAGAAGGTATTACAATTAATAAAGAAAAGTGTGTGTTTGGAGTTAAAATAGTTTCATATTTAGGCCATATTATCACTTCTGAAGGAGTATCTTTAGATCCTGATAGAGTAGAAAGTATTAAAAGATATAAAAAACCAAACAATAAAAAAGAATTAATGCAGTTCTTAGGGCTTGTTAATTATGTAGGAAGATTTATACCAGATAAGTCAAATATATTAGAACCACTGAATGAACTCTTAAAAGATGGGGTTTTATATTATTGGGGGAGTTATCAAGAAAAGGCTTTTGACAAAATAAAACAGTTGATTCAAAGAGCACCAGTATTATGTCATTATGATCCTAACAAAAAAGTAATTATTTCTGCAGATAGTAGTTCTTATGGTTTGGGGGCAGTATTGATGCAAGAAAATTCTAAAGGGGAAAGGGCAAAGCAGAGTGTTTGGTGGTTAGGCTTATCATCTCAATTAAAAATTATAGTTGAAAACTGTCCTGAATGTATACAAGAAAGACACAATTTAAAAGAACCAATGATAGTAGAAGATGTGCCCAATAGAGCATGGCAGAAGGTGGGAATAGATTTATTTAAGTTTAATAATTATTGGTATATTGTAATTGTTGATTATTACTCGAGATTTATTGAATTATTTAGATTAACTAACTTAACAGAAGAAACTATTATAACTAAATGTAAAGAGACATTTGCCAGATTCGGCATACCTGACATAGTACGTACAGATGGAGGGCCACAATTTAAAAGCAAATTTAAAGATTTTTCTGTCAAGTATAATTTTGAACATATTATAAGTAGTCCTTATTACTCACAGAGTAATGGGTGTGCAGAAGCTGCAGTTAAAATTGTGAAAATGTTGTTGAAAAAAATACGGATATTAATTTGGCACTTCTGGTTTACAGAAATACTCCTGGTGAGTCTGGTTATAGCCCTAATGAATTAGTATTCAATAGAAAATTGAAAGAAATTTTACCTATTTATCCTGATCAACTTGATGTTAAAGCAAAATTACAAGAAAGATTTAAAGTAAAAAGGTCACAGTTTAGAAATAGAATGGCAACTAATTATAATAATAGACATAAGAGTTCACATCTAAGTGATTTGCAAATAGGAGAACATGTTTGGGTTATTGACCTGAGAAAATATGGTGTGATTGTAAGAAAGGCGAAGGAACCTAGATCTTATTATATTGATATTCAAGGGTTTACTTATAGACGTAATAGATGGCATCTGATTCCAGCGCCTTTCAATTCAAATAAACCTAATGTAAAATCAACAAATGTTGAACAAGAGTCTGAAGTTTGTTCAGAAATGGGCTTTGGTCAGAAATTTTTAGAAGGGGAAGAAAACAGTAAATTTGACTGTAATAATAAGTGTCAGGGAGATGAAGAAATAACAACAAATTTAAATAATAATAATAGTTTATTAGAAAGTAGTGATAATGAAAGCAATAGTAATGAACAGTTTTCCAGTGTTACAGAGGATAATAATTGTATAATTCAAGAAGAGTCGATGAAACGTAGAATAAGAAAGAGACCTAGATATTTAAGTGATTATGATTGTGAATTATAAAGAAATCTTGAGAGGAAGGATGTTGTGGTAGGGCAACACTAATGACAGCCCGCGCATATTATATTGTCGGTTAGAGATTATCTATGGAACTATGGAGGCTGGCTTGGCTAGGTTGTACTTTGTGAGTAGTGTGTTTGTTACAATAATAATAAAAGCTAATTCCTTGAATGTCGAGTTAATCATTTCTACATAAACACAGCTATTTTTTTTATTTGAATTCAAAAGTATCTTTGAACTCGTAATTAGGAGGTATGTAAGTACGCGTACAATTACGAGCGTGCAGCGGGGCACGGAACGTGTAGGGGCACGAATAGCAAAT